TATTTTGGTCACAACACCAACAGATTTGTTGTGTATTGAACCTCTCCTTTCTCCCTTACTCTGAAATACTTTCAGATACTCTTTAAATAATTCTTTGCCATGTTCCCCTACCACACACAGATACACAAGTCTGCAGGCTGCAGACATTCCCTCTCTATTTACCGCCTCCTCTAATTTTTAGTATTAGCTGCCAAATTACAAGAGCTTGTGGTTGGAAAATTGCAGCTGAGTATTGAGTAGCTGAACTGTCCCAGGCTGGCATGTCAGCCACAAACTGTGGGCAGAGATCTCTTTTCTCATTTGATAAAGAATAGGGCATAGAAAGAGCTGTACACAGGCAGCATCGTTTCCACAGCAAGGCCAGACACGCAGGAGACTGCAGTGTTACCACTGCAAATACAAGTTAGTGCCTTCTACAAAAAGGTCAAAGCATTAACTCCAGACTCGTAGGTGACCTCAGACCAACTAAAATAGTGTAATTCACTGAACACAGTAGTCTAATTCACCGACCTACTGATGCCATTCTACCAAACACACTTGCCATTTCCTTTGTATCATTCTGAAACCAGTAACTTCACTTCAGGCACTTTGAGTCATTATCTGCTGTTGAGAGATTTGCAAGAGGCAGAATCTCATTGTCCTGGAAAGTGAGAAACTAGACAGCTCCTTCATTTACAGTGAGCAGGAGCCCAGCTGGCCTGACCTTACACTGAGATGCAGTTCTGGGATCATGCACCCACTTCTCTTGGTGTGGAGCCACTGTCGTGACTCAGATTACAGCATGTTTTTCTGAAGCTAAGTCACTCTGCTATCATTAAAAAACCCAGAAAATAAAGGCATGGGCACAAGGGATTAGAACAGCCATCCGTTTTGTCCAACACCTGATGTCTGAGTCCATGGGACAACACTTCAGTAAAAAGCCTAAGAAAAAGGGACTACACCAAGCCACATGCTGCCCTCAACATCCATTTAGGATGTAACTTAGAGAGTTATGTACTTTAAGTACATAAAATATACTTTAAAAAATCTTTTGCCCACTATGGAGCCATTTGCAGAAAAATGTAATCGGAAATAACATGAAATAGCACTTACCTTTATTTATTTTAAACCCAGAGCACAATATTTGCATTTAATATCTCCAAATCTTGTCAAACCACATCACTCACTACATTATACAGGCTTGTGAACACCCTCTGCTTGCTCTGCTTCACAGAGTAAAACTAAGGCACAACTAAGTCCACCACACACCTCAAACTATCAGATCAGTCTTCTCCACAAACACCATTTTATCTCTATCAGAACTGAATTTGGGCTGCCATTTTCTTGCCCCACCACTTACCACTGTGAGATCCCTTTGACATTGCTCACAGTCAGCTTTTGGTCTTACCACCTGGAAAAATGTGTTAGTGCTTCATTATTCATCCTCCATTCCAGGTAGTTCATGAGCACTTAGAACACCAGAGATCCCAGCACACTTTCTTCCATAAGACGCCAGGAGTAACATCCCTGTACTGTCCAATCTTCTTATCTTTTCCATACAGTTTTCACTATTTGCCTAGTCACTATCTAATCAGCACAGCATTACACCAGTTTAACTTGCCAAAAAATCTTTCAAACAGCAACTATTTGGTTAGTTTTGGTTTTTTGGGCATGGGTTTGTTTGCTTGGGGTTTTTTTTATGCATGTATTATGGGTTTTTTAAAGAAATCCAGATGTATTGTATTAGTTAAATCACCTTTATCAAATGCTGATCCAGTCATTGAAACACAAGCAGATTTACAGGGTAGAAGCTCCTGCTGCAGAAGCCAACTTGTCTCCTCTCTATCTGTGAACAAACACTAATGCTATTCTTTAATTTTAGGTTCTAAGAGGAGCCTGATACAGAAACCAGGCTTGCTCTTAGCTTCCACTTGCCCAAAGAACCCCCCAGACCCTTCTTGAAAAGCCCAGCACGTTTACTGCTTTTCATTCCTCCATTCTAAGGCCAATTTAAGCAATGATTACACACAACCGTATGTAACTCGGCAACATCAACACCGAGCTCCTCACAAAGTGAGAACTTTTCCTAGCAATTCTTTGTGTTGGAATTCACTCCAAAACGTCAAGCTTCTGTCACATTCCCCCAGCCTGTCCCCTGGAAATGAAGGGTCCACATGGGAACTGTTCTGCAGTGAATAGCAATGCAAATAACTTCTCTGCACCAGCTTTACTTTCCCTCAGCTCACATGTAATATTAGGAACCTCTATCAGCTCATCGGGATCTCTGACAGGCTCTCTGCCTTTGACAGCTAGACAAAAAGCTTTATTATTTTTTTAAAGTCTCTACAAAGTTGTTCCTCAACATTTTTTTTGCTCTACCTCATTATGGTTTATATTTAACTTGCCAAAGTTAATGCTCTTTCCTATTCTCCTCATTTGGATGCAACTTCTGCTTCAGAAAGATGACTTATTTCTAGGAGTCTTGTTTATTTTACTGTTTAAGCAAGTCGTTGTTCATTTTTGTGGCTTTTCTTCCATCTCTTATTTCCTCTCCCTTCTCACACTTTACCATTGAAACTGGACACAGTAGTCTAGAAATCTTGGACTGTGAGGTTCTGTATTTTAATTTTAAGTCAGTGTTTCACACAAAATTCTCAACTTTTTTTGTGCACATATGAAATAGCACTTAAGAAATGGTATTTTGTTAAGATGACATGAAGATTTCTCTGCCTGTTTCCAAGATAGAGGATTTTTTTTCTATCTTGAAGGTAAAATCTGTATTTGGTCCTCCCAGATGTTTTATTTCATGGAGGATATATTAACATATATTTTGTTGGACTGTGGCCATTTAAATCAGGCAATCCAGATTGTTCTTTAGAAATAACTGACCCTTTATTTAGTACTCACAACCTAGGATTTTTTCCAGATAGGATTATTGATGAAGGGATAAAGCATTGCTAGAATGAGAACTGATCAACTGAGGACCTCATTAAAGCAAACAAGCAAACAAACAAATGCTTAGTCTTTCTTTACCATCAACCACATTTTGGTATTTCTCAGGCCATTGCTCTTTAATCCATCCAGCACTTGCTTATGCTTGCTAAAGTCTGAATTCTCATTTTTACCAGTAAAAAAGCATCAAGAACAGCTACATCCTCTGAGAAACATTTATTCTATTTCAACTATTTCCACCATATTGTGCCTATTCACATTTAAAATTGCACTTAAAATCAGGAACCTTAAAATGGGAAAACATTTATTCATTTCATTCATGCTTGAAAACAGCCAAACCAACTTTATCCAAATATTAAAAACACCCAACAAAAACACACATTTTACCACAAAGACCGCGCCTAAAAAACGTCAGTTGGAGAGATGATGGTTTCCTAATGACACAATCAACTGAAAACAGAAGCTAGAATAAAACAAATCATGCAGCTCCAATCTTTAAATGAACAGGCATGATAATTTGGCTTTAAGAGTACTAAATATATTGAATACCTGGCTTGGTAATATTAACTTTCATAGTTCTCTGAGTACAAGGAAAGTTGCAGAGGAGAAGGAATTTTAAGTGCAGCTTGATTTTTCTTTCAGAACTACTGGTCAGTCATCCTTACAGCAGAACTGGGCAAAATAATTAAATGTCCAACACTGAATTCAATTTGTAAAGAAATCAAAGACATCACAGGAAAAAAAGGCAACATTAGTCAAGTTTTAAGGTCCATGCTGTCTTTAAAATTGTCAATACAATTTTTCAATGTATGAACATTTCCTTCGACTAGAGACATGTTTGTACCTCTTTGCAAGGAATTAGTTCAATGCAGTCATCTACTGGGAGGTGACTGAACAGAGATCTGCTAGCAGCTGCTGAGGGAGAGAATAAATATCACTTCAGCTTCTAGGAGGCTAAAAAGCTCCTTCTCAAAGCCAAAGTATTTTAAAAATTAAAATAAGATTAATAGTTTTGTAATAATGAGTTCATTCTACTCTCTACTATTTACATTTAGCATGTACACAAACACAGATTTAAAAGCACTCACTTTCAGTTCTAGTATTTATACTCTACCCAGAGTTCCAAAATTCTCACAGAAGATAATACTGATAATTGTTTGGTTTACACTGGTGATGGAGAACTTCAGTGTTTTGTTTTGTTTTTAAGGCATGTCTCTAGTATCTACTGGTTACAAGGCAACGTCAGATGTATTTTTTTATTTTAAAAAAGCTTCCAGTCACCATGCTTGTCAACAAAAACAAAGACAGAAGACACCACCAGTTCCAGGATTGGCTTGAAGGCCATGATCACTCAACCTAACATTTAAATGCACAGGTCATAGAAATTCCCTCCTCAAAAGAAATTAAATATCTCTTTTGGAAAACTGCCAGTTATGTTAAGAAGTCCACAATCTCTTTTGCCAAAGAGATCACTGCACTAAAGCATCTCTTCCACGTGAACAAGAAGCTTGTACAATGGTCAAACTGCTTGGTCAAATTTTCCATTCAATGCACCAAACTGAAATGCTTGAACCTCAACAGATTAATGTTTCTGCCAATCTATCTTCTGAACTGTCTCCCAGCAATTCTATAAACTCCAGGCACCTGAGGGATGCTTCACCCTGTTCTCCCAGGAACAAAAAACACAAAATCAACCACAACAAAACATCACACTTTGCTATCTACTCCAGATAACTTAATCATGACCAAAGCTCCCCAAGCATTGCATCACCTGGCACTAGCAGTGAGCCTGACCACACATTTGTATCATGCACTGAAAACATAATTTGTTCCATCACTCAGCACCCAGGAGTCTCTACTCTTTGAGCAAAGCCCTCGTCAGACTGAAGTCAACTAAGCCATTGCCACTGACCACTCAAACTCTCAAGAATTTCAGCACTGGTCTGTCCATGAACTAATCAAGAGACAGAGCAATGACACTTTTCAAGACAAGCTCTGCCTATCACCCACCTTGAAGAATGAGAAGTCATCGGGGGAAGTGGGGAAAAACTCCCACAGTGATTACTTACTTTGGGAAGATGACAGTCATGAGCGCTGATGCATAGCCTGGCTTGCACATTCCCTCAGAGAAATTGGCATACTTTGATGCTAGTTCTGGAGGCCTGTGAAAAAACAGGTACAGAATCAGGACTCTCCTGGCTATGAACTAGTTTTTGCAATCATCCAAGTAATTTTTCTCCTCACAGCTTTGCAGAAAAGAGCCACAGGGAGTAATTGCAAACACAAACCATTATTTATTTGTTGCACTATGGCATCACAGAAGAACAACAAAAAAAGCAGAGAGGTAGAGATATCTGAAATACCACTAAACCACTAGTTTTGCTGAAAGATTTTCATAGCTAGCAAGGTAAAGTTTATGGAAGAAAAATATCAATAATCATTTTAGACTTACACCTTTCAAAAGGAAAAAAGACATAAACAGCACCTTGCTTTGGCTATTTTTCTAAGTTATGATCGAAGTTAAAATTATAGAAAAGTATTATTTAGAAGATTACTTGAAGATAGTTTCAGGAATTTGAAACAAAGCTTCAAGCAGTATTGGCAGGGTATCATTAAGGGATGAGTGATTTCAGGATTTGGAACAGATGACATTGCTGCTGCTTTGTTGAAGTGTCTTAATTCAGCTTGGCTAGTGACTCTTTGGCCAAATTTAGAATATATGGATGTTTCTTCATTCAGTTTCTGTACAGAAACAAGAGTAGCAACTCAAAGATATTTCAGTCCAGCACATGCATTTACCATAGGTCTACTAAGTTACGTGAAAAAAACCTTTAATTTTGTGTCCCCTATTCATCACCTGCAAAATTTTTACGTTCATCCATTTCATTAAAGCATTACAAGGGTCATTAATTCACTTGCGCTTTCAAAGTAACATTAGATATCTTAGTGTCAGTCACAATATGAGGATTGTTAATATTCCTTCAAAGAACAACCAAAAAAGCATTTACAGTTCCACGCTCAACATTCAGTGGAAGCTGCAAAGACTCATCAATAACACTGTTCTTGCTGCATCATTATCAGCAACAGGCAAGTAATGAAAGGTTTCTTCCTCCAGTTCAACAGTAACACTCAAATGAAGATGACAATGCAGCCCCACAGAGTAGAACCACAAAATCAGTTCTGAAGAGTCTGTTATTATCCCAATCATTGTTCTTTCCCAGGCATCATCATTATCACTTAACCAGCAAACTACTACTATCTGCAATGAATGTGAATTCAGAGTTTCAAAATTACATATAGGAAGGACAATAACTCCATGCTGAACTGATAGTAACTATTTTTCTTATATTGGTCTTGCATTACCTCTCAAGAGGCCAGTAGCCCCTTCCAAATGGATGGACAATAGATGGACAATTAATTTTACAATTAGCTGCATAGAGTACAAAACCTTATATAGCTCCTAAACCGTAGGGGAATGGTCTCTCTGTATACAGAACCCCTGCAATTCTGCATATATACATACATACAGAACCTCTGTGGCTCTTAAAGAATAAAATCTATTTCTGCTGAATAAAAATCTAAACCTTCAGCAGCTGGAAGGGAAAAGAACCAAGAGAAGATCAATAGTCATTGTAAGTATTTAATTTTGTAAGATCTTTTAAGCTAAAAAGCACCATAAAAAGCTTAAGAACACAGATCCTATTGAATTCTGCCACAGATATCCTGCATGGTTGTGGTCCAAATATGCCGTATTTTACCACCAAAATCCTCATCTGTAGGATGGAAGAACAATACATTTAGCCATTTACACTGCCAATTATTTACAATAAAGTATAGATATCTCTAAATATATGATATAGACATGGAGAGAAAGAGAGGTGTAACATCATCTAGCACAACCCAAATCGGTGAGTTTGGTTTCCATAGGTGAGGATGGGATATCATAATACATTTCTTTAAATGAGAGAGATGAGAAAACATCTGAGAAATGAGTATCCAAAATTATTTGCATTCTTATGCCAGTCAGGATCTCTTTATAAATAGGTACATGAAGGACTGACAAAACAAAAGGTATATTGTATCCCCTTCTGACACAGACAAAAGGCACAGCAGGATGTATTGAACACAGCTTGTTGAAGCATTTCAGATATGAAGAAATGGGGGAAATTTTAACTTTTTTCAACTGAATCTAAGCTTGCTAGAATTTTCATCTTTAGGCAAAGTACAGAAACCCCTAATACCAAAATCTCCAAAAACAAGTAGAAAGTAACTGGAATTTATCTGTAGCCACCACAGTAGTGAGTCATTGCTGGCAAACTTGTATAACTATTTCAACAGCAGGCCTGTCTCAAATGATCTCAGTGGTCACACAAAATATCTTGAGCCACAAACACAGGCATTTTTCTCTTTTCTGATTTAATGGTGCTTTCATTATCAAATTAAAACGTCACTCAGATGCCCATCATGGTGTTTCTGCACAAGAATAGCAGGCTGGGACCCTCCTGCATGTGAGCCCCCCGCATGCCAATCGCTGCATACTGATGGAGGGGAGCTGTCAGTACAAACCCACAAAGACTCCCAGAGCTGCTAAAGCCCCCAGGCCGAGCTGTTAACATTTCTTGGATGTGATGAAGTTCATGATCCAAAGTGCCAGAGGCAGAACAGTTCTCTAAGCCAACCATAGCTGCCATCTCATATCATTCAACATTTGCTCATCTCCTTTCTCGGTGCCGCATTTTGAGTCACCAAGCTACAGAAAACTAGAAAGGGGCACTCTACATTTTAAATCCATCTAGGGACATGTTTTATTTGTTCAATCTCTTTGAAATAGGCACTGCATACTGTCAGTGCCAACATGCTCGTAATGATAAGCTCCTAGTAGGTGTAACCCAGAGCAAAGTTAGAGTAGGGCTGGGTGCAGCCTTGCTGTTTACCATTCTGCTACCAGATGAAGCTATCCAATTTGACTTCATTTTAGATACACACATTTGCTTTGCTGGTATTTTTCCCTGTGAGATCCACAAATCTTGCAGAGAGCAGTGTTCCACAAATCAGGGTGTAAAACATCCTGCATGAAGCATCCCATAGAGTACTACACATCTTTCAAACAAATTCAACTTTGAAAAATCACACTGTGTTTGTAGCTATGTGGTTCTGTAATAAAAGGACTGCACAGAACTCAAGTCTACAAATGAACATCTCCTCTGTATTTGATGACAATGTATCTACTACACTGCTGCATATATTGGTGCCTCTTTGACAATGCTTTTATTTCCAAACGGGAAAACCAAACACTTTTACTTTCTTAGTGCTTTAGAAGCTAGTAATAGCTTCATCTCACTAGCCCCATTACTGAGCCTGGACTCCAAGGCCATCCTGATAAGTCAGCCAGCCAGAAGCATAGTGACACTTATGACAGAAGAGTGCAAATCTCCCCTACATCTTCCAGGTCCAGATACATTATTCCAGCTCTCAATGCTCATGCTCATACTGGGCTGAGGTAGCTAAAGAGCTAGTGGAGACAGCAGAAATAATGTAATTAGATGACACTGTGGACCCTTTAAATTTTGCTCAGATTTTGTGCAGGAAAAACCCAGTAAAGTAAAAACTTTCTCCAGAATACATGAGAAAAACAAGTCACAGTCAGTAACTGTAAACATCTGCTGTTTTTAAACAAGTGCCTGCATGAGGGTGAAGTTGAAGGGAAGTAATTGGCTTATTCCACTGAAGAGAAAATGCACTCTTGCTTTTTTTTCTGACTTTTCTCTTATGAGACCAGCACACATCCTGAATTCTTATGATATTCTGTGCTTCTCTACACTGTTATGTGGACATCAATCTCAACAAAATTTCACAATTTGGATAAGTTAAAAATCCAGCTGCTTTCAGAGGATTTAGAAAAAGTAACAAGATTTTTCCTTCTGCTTGCATTTGGCAGATGTGTGTCTCCTTTTAATCTCAAATATGAAAACGTCACCATGGTTAATTCCTTCATCGTGTCCTGATCAGGGACAGCATGTCATCCTCATAGACTGGAATCTAAATCCTTTTAAAAAAAGAAATTAGTAATACAACTCAGTGTTTAGATTACTAAAAAAATGGCCACAACTAAGCTCATGTAATTGAATATTACAAAATCTACTTGAAGAGACAGATTTTGTTACTTTGCCTTTCACATGGAATTTAAACTGCAGCTTGTAAAAATCAAAAAACTTTATCTACTTGAGATCATCTTATTTGAGGACTGATGTCCCTTCCTGTTACTCTTGCACACAAAATATATAAACTGACACATTTCTCAAACAAGGAAAAGGAGTCCTTGGCAATGTGCTCTCTAGGCTGATCCTTCTCCTTGGGGTTTCTTTCTCTTTGGTTCAAAATAACCTGGGTCTTATGCCTACACAGCAACTCTACAAAGCTTTTGTCATGATACATGAAGAATGAATAGGAGATGGAATGAGAATATGAAATGAAGGCATATAAAACATAGCGAGGTATTATGGAACAATAATGAAATAATAGTATATAATTTGGCACATCACTAAATCAAAGTAGTTAATGACACTGAGACCCCATAGCTATACCCTGTAAGATTCAGAGCATTTTAATTTAGGTAGGACTCCCTGGTTCAGACATATCCACCATATTCAGTCATGGCACAGTGTTGGCCAAAGGACAAGTTTGTACACTCCTGGAACAAAAACTTTCAGTTCAGTTTCCCTCAGTTACTGCCACTCAGCCTGAGGAAGAGAAGTCATTTACATTCACCTCCAGGGTAGTCAATCCCATACACCAGGGCACTGAAAATTGCATCTCCACCTCTGCCTTCATAAGTAGAGTTGTGAGCATCATGTCACTCTGTGGAATCTCTTTGAGTGAAGACACCACCACAAAACCCTCCCCTGGGTACATGGCTGGAGATCCACATTCACCTGTATGGCTTGGGAAACACTGAACCAGAATTTTAAGAAGCTCCAATTACAGTTCTTACAAGTTTGCAAACTTGGGTTCAAAGCATTACACAGCCTGATCATTTGATATTTGCTATTTTCCAGCTGAGGAAAAAGTAAACAAATTAAAGGAATGAGTAGATAGAAGAGGAAAATCAAAATGCTTACATTGAAAGAGATGGGAACTGCATCTACTGCCCTATAGCCAGCAA